AGAACCAGATATGGTGTGATACACGACCCCTGTGTTTTATAACTTGATAAGATTTAGGTTTGATCTTTGGCACTATTTGTCACTCTTTAGTCTGTACAAAACTGCCAGCTATATGGGAACAGCAAATCCACAAATACAGACTTAGGTTAGAAAATCAGACTGCAGTCTGTTCCTTCAACTGCAAAAGTTTAGCAAAATTACACTGCTAGGTAGTAAGTGAAAGAGCATTTCTCTCTATTGCAAAATTACTCTGCATTTTCTGCCAACTGTGGAATTGAAGCTAGTGAAAAGCTGCTTTTCTGCAATGGTCAGTGATGACTGTAACCAGTGCACTTGGGAAGTGAACACTGAGAATTTAGGCTCTGAGCTACAGAATACCTTCTGCGATGTAGAACTCAAGAGCTATTTCAACTACTCATATGCTGTCTTGAAGATTCTTAAAATCCCGCTAAAAATGATGTCATAGGTGAAAGCTGTAGTTGGTAAAAAACGTCTTTTTGTTCAAAGTCAAGGGCTGATGAACTAGTAATACATGAAAATGGAAGTAGAAAACATTCTCTGAATTTTTTTAAATTTTGCAATTTGTGCATGCTTTGAAACTTTCCAGGGATTCTGTGTTTTGTCTTTGATTGAGTCTTCTGAGAGGTTTATGGTTGTAGCTCTTCTAGTTGTTACATGAAGATGGAAGGAAACATCTCCTACAAGTGGTAATAGGAAGCTTTCATAAAGTACTGCATTTGCTGGCCATGCTGTGACAATTAAAGAAAGTATCATAGGAAAAAACATTCTTAAGGCTAGTTTCTATTTTATTTGAAATGTTTAAGTAGACAACCAAAATGAACTGGTTAACATAGTAATAGTTCACAGTTCTCTCACTGGCTGACTGGGTGTTTATTTTTCTTTGTTTGTTTGTTTTTGTTGGTTTGGATGTTATTGGTTCTATACTAAGAAAAAAAATTGTGGTTTTCTTATATATTTATATATATATATAAGTTTCCACCAATTGCATTGTGAGTTCAGAAGCTGTGCATAAAATGCTATTTCAAAAATGTGTCTCATGCTCTCTTGCTAGTACTTAATGTTCTCTGTTTTAATACTCTGATACACATTTTTCATTTCCATAGCATCCGTGATTTGCTAATGTTTGTGGTGTCATATAATTTGTGCATGGTTTGGTTTTGTGGTTTTCTCTGTTTCCCTCTCTCCCCCCGCCCTGCCCCAGTTCAGTTAAGCAGAATAGGTAATTGCATAGTTAGTTTCTCCTCTGAGTAAGTTTTAATGTGGAGGTGTTTCCATTATGATTTTTTGTTGGTGGATATTTAATAGAAGAGCTGAAAGAAACAGATTTCTTTAACTCTGACTGCTATACAAACTAATGTAATTTAATTAAAGCCTTAAAGGTTTTTACTGAAACTAGTTTTTCTCTTGTTTCCATTCCATGTAGTCTCCATGAAAATAACACTAAATCTCACCAGGTTTAAAGAAGCCAAATGACTCCCCTGCTGCCTGCAGACCAAATAAATGGAAGCCAAATGACTCCCCTGCTGCCTGCAGACCAAATAAATGGTTACCCTTTCCATAACCCTTGTTTCTTGGACCAGGTCTTCCCTAGTTTTCAGTTTGAGTTTTGTTTTTCCCCCTTGGTGCTCTCTGGCTTTTTAGCTATCCTGAGTTGAGACAGATACTTCATTCATCATCTCTGAACAAATTTATTTGCATTTATTTCTTCTGTGTTTTCCCCAGACAGAGAGAAAAAATGGTCTCTCAAACTTACATGATGTCCACAAGCAACATTTTATTCAGCTTACAGATGTTCTAGTTATTTCCAAACCTTTTTGTTGCAGGACCTGAGTTGCATTAAATAAAGTGATTTTAATTGTTGCTGGTGTCTTGCTCTTTGAGTCATGCTGGTTGCTCTGGGTATGGCTCTGGTAGTAAGTACTGAAAACAAATAATGGGTTTGTGGTTTTCTTGCAGTGAATGCAGGTTTAATGATTATTATCTTCTGCATTTATTAAACATATAAAATGTGTTAAGAACACAGTACCTTGTGGAACAATTTCTGATGGACATACAGCTATCCTGATTTCACAGATGAAGTCTGTCATCTTTTTAAATGGGAACATATTTAGTATTTATTCAATTATAAAATATTTATTGTCTGCAGCTTAAAAGCCTGCAATTTCATCCTTTAATAGTACTAATGTCTTAAAAGGCAAGATTTAGTCTAAGTTACCAATCTCCTCATTGATGGCATTTATGACTTTTTTGCCAGTCAAAAAAATAAGTGAGAAAACATAATCCGGTAAATTTTTGGTCATGAAAAATGTTAATTGTGCCTATACACAAACCTTGAGGTAAAATGGCGACTTTTTATTTAGAAAGATCTATTAATTAAATCCCAGTACAGTGTCATTTCTGTAAAAAAATACTTCATGTAGACAAAGGTAGGGTATTTTAGTATTTACATTTCTGTATTATATTATACCAATCTAGTGTCTAATTTAATCATGGTTTTTTTACTAATGTATTTCACATTTATTGCCCATTAACTCTTGCACTTCTGTGTGGAAAAAAAAATTATTGATGTCTTACGTACTTAACATAATGTGAAAACCAACATATGTCAAATAATGTGAACACTGATTTTCAAGTACTGAAATAACTTAAATGTTATCCAGTTTGAAGTTATAATAATTCCACTTTAAATTATTTAACTAGTTAATAAATACATATTTTAATACAAATTATATATATATATATATATACATTTATATGTTCTGTGTATACATTTTTCACTTTATAAATAGAAACTTGGTTTTGACTCATTTATTATTGCATGTGGTGCTCAATGGCTGATTCTGCTAATTGACAAATAGATTTTGTTTTAACTGGAATAGTAGTGGAAATGAAGAAAAAACAAGGTAGTTTGGAGGACTAAACCTTTAATTTGTGTTGTGCTTCTGATTAGTCACATGTCTGTTGTTTGAATGTATGTATCTCTGAAGACAAAGTGTGTAAAAGAGAGTTTTTTCACACATCTGTGTGTTTGTTTAATGACAGAGATGGTTTTGAGATGGTAACTTATGTTAAAAAAGGGGACTCACCTTATGTTAAAAAAGGGGACTCACTGTGGAGACAAAAAGCTTGACAATTGTTTTAACTTAAATGATTGGAATGACATTTTTAAGACTCCCGGAAGTCAATTATCAAAAATTATGGAAGTTCATTATCAAAAATAAAGAGTCTGAAAAATAATAATGAGCTTGTTACTCTTAAATCAACTTTGTTAATCCAAAGTGCATCTATCTTTTAAGTTCCTGTTGTCACATCTCTCAAGTCTTGCACAATAAGCTATTCTATACAATCCTTTCTTCAAAGAGCAGTAGTAAGATGAAAACTGCACAAAGTTATTTTACTTATGTGAATATTTAAATCTTTAGGCCCACGACTGGGTAATTGAAGTAAAGAAGCATTTAAATTTATAAGAAATACTAATTTTTTTTTTGTTTGTTTTTTTGAAAACACGTATTTCAGCTCAGGTAATGATATACAAGAGTTCCAGTTACCTCAGGATAGAAAGCCGTCAGAAATGGACACTGTTGAAGATTTGAGAAGGAAACTCCATAACCTTGAGAAAAAAAATTTGGAATTAACCAGTCAACGCAATCAAGAGGTAAGGACTCTTTTTGTTTGTTTGTTTGTTTGCTTTATTTTACCCTAGGAATAAATGGAATTTGTTTCCTCAAATGCAGTTTGTTTCCTTGAAGTAATCATCTTGTCAGGTGAATCAAAATCACAGTTACTAGTTGGAAGATAACAAAGTTGGAAAAGAACAAAGAAGTAGCACTACACAGACCTCTCATGCCTGTCCGTAGGAACTGATATCACTTTTATTGTCATTGGTAATACTTGAAGGTGTGTGTAAGAAACTTGAGCACTACACAAGAGCAAAGTCATGCAGAAGAATATTTTGCACCCCCAGTTTTGGAATTCTCAATGCATGACATGGTTTGTTTGAGTGTTTTAAATGCAGTAATTCCAGGGATCCATTTTACACAATCACCCCACCATTGATGGAGCAATGGAAGCACAACAAGAGCAAGTCACTGTGTAAGAAGTAGGAATCTCTAAATCAATGGATATGGAGAAACAAACTTGGTTTAATGGCTGTATTTAATCAACAACAGATGAATGAGCACCCGCACCAGCTGCCCCTAACAAACTTCTAAAAGCAGAATTGCTACTTGGAACAGTAATAATAGTTCAAACTAAAGAAAGTTTTAATGAAGTATTTTCCCACTGCTACTTCATTTAGGTAATAGTTTGCCACAAGAGCATCAGGGAAAACCTTTGTAATGGGGTTAAATTATTTCCCATGAATCCTGTTAATAAGCATGCTGCTGATTTGTAGATGTTCTGAAGAAATGTATGCTTTACTTTCCAACTTCTTGTGTTCAAATGGCTTGAATGTGGTTTTCTGGATCCAGTTTTGGACAGCAGTGACTAGACTATCTTTCTTCCACTGGACAAGAAGCCTTTTTGAAGCGTTTTCTTTGTTTTGTCATTTTGTCTGCTTGACTGCTGAACATCATTGGACTGAAGTTTGCATTTATGTAGTGAGTTACAAGGTGTTCAATAGTCTAGTATCCCAACACCACTATTCTTATAGTTGTTAATTACAGCTACCAGAAAACTGCCTGTGGAATATATTTATAACTTTTATTTTCTTAAGGCAGAGTATGTTTGGAAAAAGCAGAGGGGTATGTTTAAAGTACATGAAATTTATCTAGGAGCAGAACCAGTTTGCATTTTAAAAAATGGTATTTAAAATGTGCAGTTTCTAGACTGTATTTCAAATTCAGACATAATTCAGGGATAAGATGGCAGCTGTGAATACAATTTTCAAAATATTTCTTTTCCAGTTGTCTCACTATGAAAAAGAGATAATGAAATTAAGGTTGGAACTTGAGAGAGGAGAGGCTCTTCGCCGAGGTCTGGAGAGTGAAATATCATTTGCTAAAAAAGAGGCTCATATACAGATGTATTCTGTGGAGGACGAGCTATGTGATGTAAAAGCCAAACTTTTGGAACTGCAAGGTAAATTTAAAAAAAAATAATAAATTATGGACCAGAGGCTACATTAGCCCCAAGTAATTAAAACAAGCAGAGATTGGACAAAATTTTCCTGTTACTTATTTATATATAAGTATATGTTATATATATATATATTTATAAGATGTCTCTTATTTTCCCATGTCTTACTCATTTGCTTTTGTAAGCTCACAAGACTTTACAAAACCCTTGCTATCTCATATGAATTAAATGTAACCTGCTAAATCTATTGATCCTTTTTTTTTCTCACACTCCTTACCTTCTGTTATTCCTTCCCTCAGTGTGTGCAGAATTGTAATTAAGGTGTCCCTCTCCACATCCTACATATCACTATGACCAGCCGTTCCTTCTTTAACATTTCAGTGGGAAGAAAAAAAAAAAAATCTAGTCCTGTTTATTTGTTTACATTCTTTCAAAAAGCACTTTTTTTACCTTCAGGAGTTCTCATTGTACTGCTTTTTCTTTCATGTTTTCAAATATTTCTAGTTTTTTATTGCTCATATCTGGCCTCTTCATGTCATCTGTAGTTTTCTTTTTATACAAACAACATGTGTTATTACAGCAGTATATGGAAAGGAAGGATTTTACCTAGACATTTTTTCCCCTATTAATTTTGCACTCAGAAACTCAAATATTCTTAATCCTTCTCAAACAGAGGGAATTCACACACTTAAAATCTGGGGAGATTATTTTTTTGTTACCTAAGTAAATATAATTCTCTTGTCAGGAAAATTAATCCACGAACACCAGAGGTTTATGTCCAAAAAGGAGACAGAGGAGTCCTTTTTCTTTATTCGAATAAAGGGAGAAGTCATGGGGCATTCCCCTGGGGTCTCTCAAATTTTTGGAGGGCGCAGCCTCCTTTTTATCCTAATTCCCGGCCACTTGTCCCTTCTCCCTTTCCCCATAGGCTGAGGTACTTGAGAGGTACAGACTTCCCGGAACGCCTGACACCTGGGGTACCTTCCCCCTCCACCCCCAATGCATAATCCCTTCTTAACTTGTCTCTCACTGATAGCTACATCTTATCAACTGACCCACAGCTTGTTTGTAAAGACAAGCTCATCATTCCTCTCACTCTTTAAATGTAGTACAGGAGATGGATTAGTGAGCCTTTGGTTTTCACTGAAAAGACTGGAGCACTCCTGGAGTTTGTAACCTTACAAGGATGAAAGGAGACTCTGAAACTTGCAGGTGCACTTATACTGTCAGATTGTTTTCTAAAGATAATAAGAAATCTGCCCTTTCATTTGGAGAACACACAAATTACAGAAATCTTATGGCTGGTTTGAATTTCTTAAACTGTTTTTTTTTTTTTTTTTTTTTTTTTTTTTTTTTTTGGTATGTTTTTTGTTGGTTTTTTTCCTGTTTTTGTTTTTGTTGTGACAAATAAGCCAAGTAGTCCAGGTGTTGTTGCTTCTCATTTCTTTTTCAGTTTTTAACTTACTGCTTCTTTTTCCTGGTCTTTTGGAGCCATGCTCACCTCATGTGATGCTTTTGATACATCCCAACTTACATCCTTGGACAGGGTACCTCACTTGTGCCCTGTGTTCTCCAAACTGTTTTTCTGCTGTTCTTCTTGAGGCTTGACTTCCTGACATCTGACAGGTCTTCCCCATTGTTATAAATGCAAAGGCAATTTCGGGTTAAATAAAAGAGAAATTTATTATAAAACAATAATAAATTCGAACAGTGAGAAAAACCACAATAAAATGAACAGCGCAGCGCTGGGTGGACAGCGTCTATACACAAGGTATAGGTGTTCCCAAATCCACACCTGAGAGTCCCTTGGCCTGGGTTTTTATAGGAAGTTTATGTCCCGAGGCCAAATTCCAAGCAGGCACCCTTCGCTAAAAGGTCCTTGATTGTCCGAAGAATAGATTTCCTGGCACCGGAGAATAGAGTCAATAGATGCTGGGCAGAGGCTCCTCATATGTAAAGAGGTCCAGGATGTCTTTTTGATATCATTTTGGTCTGGGCCATTAGGGTGGAGTGGTGGGACCCATCCTGGAGCCGATGGCTTATCTCGGCTGGCTCCTCTTCCTTTGTCTAGTTTTGTCCACTTCTCCAACACAGGTGGGCAGGGTGGAGGTGCTCAGGTCCGGTGATATCTCGTCCAGGCCCGTTCCTTTATTTGTTCGATGGCCCGTGTCCTGCCCATTCTTCCTGGGCTGATGTGCCTGCTTGTGATCGTTATCAGGGTGTTTGGCTGCAATCTGTTGCCTCTTGGAGGGAAATCACGACCAGATCCGGAGAAGGACTTTTTCCCCCATTACATGTTGTATTTTATGTCATTGCAGTCATACATATATTTTATTTATACCTTTTACGAATTTTTATTCATAACTATATTTATTACACCCATCATCTTGTCCACTGATTTACTCTGTTATCCCAACATGGCTCTTCTGGTTGTTTCACCCTTCTCCAGCTAGGAAGAAATTTCAGAAGACTGGGATGAATTTGAAGTAAAAATCTATTAGAAAATGGTGATCACATAAATGCCACAATAGCTAGTTTTACTCAGTAACATAAAAAGCTAATACAAAATATTTTGACCCAAAAGCCAGTTTGTGAAAGGAAACAAAGTTCCTAGTAAAACTGGGAGAGCCC